TACCCCAACAAACCCTCAAAGATAAAGCAAGAAAACACACAATAAAGTATTTTAAAAATGATGAACTAAAACTCTATGGTAGATTATGGAAAGGGAAGGTGTTAGCACCCTTTCCATCTGTGGTTTTCAACGGGCTCTTAGGTACTTGCTCATTTTTTAAAATTGCTTTCGTGTTTGTGTGTTTTGAAAAGTTTGTTTGATTTATGATAACTCTTGTATCAGTCCTCAAGAGTGTTGATAAAGCATTTTTGAAAAAGGTTTTGAAAGTGTAGTGTGAAAAAGTTGTTTTTGAGCAAGTACCTAACAGTTATCTACCTACTCGAAAAAGTTTATTCTTTTCCTCTTTTTCTTTAGACAGTGCTATCCTACTATTAGTGAGTAGGTAGCCCAATCGTTGGATGTTGAGGGACTATCAAAGGGACGTTTATAGTCACCAAGGCAACTGGGCAAGAACTTTTAGTAATTGTCCTAAAGTTCTAAGATCACTTTTTAATCGAGGTGGCGTCGAAAAGGTCATCGAGGGACTTGTGATTTCTTGAACTAAATGACAACCAATAAAAATTCTCACATTTCGAGAATTGTGATTGTTTCCAAAGGAAACCGAAGTGGGGGTACCCTAGAGGTGCACATGTGCGAGTGTGTTAAGATTCAGTTATTTTTTGTCTTTTTGTTAGGTTAGCTAACATTTGATTTTAGTATTTCCATACAAGCCTATTTACTAACGGTAATATAGTAAAATAATAAAGCAATAAATGTGCGGAAAACAAAATACAGAAAAATAAATCCTAAGTTATTACACGGCTTTGGAGAGATACATTATAAAAATGCAGAAAGTAAAATCCTAATTATTATTACAAACCAGTAGGCAGTTACAATAATAAAAAAACGCGAAAGTAAATAAACGTGCATGAATTGAAAATACGTCTAAAATCCTAAGTGAAAGGAATTTTTTTTTGTTATGAAAAGAAATTGAATTAAAAATCCTAAGTCTATTCAATTTTAGTTTTTTTAAGAAAATATTAAAATAATTAATTAATTAATTGACAAAATTAATATTAATAGTAAAGACTAAAACCTAATCTTTTTTATGATTTTTGATTTTTAATGTTGATTAAAAACTAGAAGAAACAAAGTAATGAAAAAGATAAACTAAATGGAACAAGCGGTAAAAAGAAAAGGGGTAATCTGCAGGATGCATGCCTGGATCGAAAGGCCTAAGGCTTCCTTTCAATCCAAGTGAAAAGGCTGATCGAAGGTGCCTAATGATGGTACATGATATACTCCTTCGATCTGGGACATTGGATCTGCAAGCAAGTTTGTTAGAAAAACACAAAATGTATGACCTGGGTGTCGAACCCAGGTCCTTCGATTCCCTCTCTAATTCGAATATGAAGTTACTTCGTCCTGCAATACCAAGAATCTTGAGATTCGAATCTGGGTTTAGATTTAATAGATCATCACTGTATCAAGCGTTTCGAGTGCATTATCAGGTTATGTCCTAGAAATGGAAATCTGAGATTCAAGCGTTTAAGCTTGTATGCAATACGTTAAACCTGCCTTATGCAATGTCATGAACACATATAAGAACATTAGGTCTGTTACTAACACATATTTAGCAAGATTAAAATAAAAAATGATATACCAAATGGTGATGACTGGTTATGGATCTTTTGGACGTGGAGGTGCTTTACTACGGACCTCGTTCAACTTCTGGGAGTCTCAGGGGATGAACGGTGGACTCGGTTTTGCCTGGAACTGGATGGAGAGAGAGATTTCGAATTGCACTACTTTGAAGAAAATTGGAGCTTTTGTTAGGGTTTGTTTGAGGCAGCTGCGCGTGTGTTGTGAGGTAGTATATGTGTCCTTTTTCTATGAGAATATGAGGTTTATATAGGCAAGGGATTTTAGGTTAACATTTGTGTATCAAATCTTTGTTTATTATGACGAGGAGATTTGCTTTTATTTCTTCATAAAAAACTTTCTATATTTGATTCAATCAGGTGCCAATCTATTTTAATGCGTTATTGACATCCTATTATGAGTTGTTTAGGCCTCCAATATGATGGAAATTGAAAGCTGACATGCCCCTACAGATCCATTTCCCTTTGAATTTGTTCTCTTCGAAGGCTCTAAGCTCCAATTCGAATTACTCAGAGCTTTCTTCATTAGAACATTGTTTCCTTTGAAATCTCTAAATTCTAGTTCGAATTGCACCATCTTCATTATCATGGCTCCTTTGATAGAACCACCCTCTTTTTCGATTGCTTGATTTGAAAAAAATCACCCTAGTTGAATCAGCTCTTGTGGAGTTAGGAATAAACAAGGAAAGAATCTGGATGTAACGCGATGGGAGAACTGACTTGGGTGTTTTGCGTTTGATCGCAATTGTTGCGGATAGCAAGAGTCGCCACCGACTTTTATTTTATCCAATAAGGAAAGGTTGAAAAGAACAGGAAAGACCTTTAGAGATGTTTTCTTGAGTTTGGGGGGTAGGTTATGAAAAGGGAAGGTATTAGCACCCTTTCCACCCGTAGTTATCTACGGGCTCTTAGTTGCTTACTAGATCACTTGTTTTTGTTTGAAAATGTGCTTGTGGTGTGGTTTTTGAAAGTATTTTGAAAATGTCTTTGTAATGGTTCTCGTTTCTATAAGAACACGTACAAAGTGTTGTTTTGAAAATAGTTCCAAGAGGTGTTTGTGGAGTGTGTTTTTGAAAGTGATTTTTAAAATGTGTCTTTGTAATGGTTCTCGTTTCTATAAGAACGCGTACAAAGTATTTTTCTTTTGAAAATGTTTCAAAATGAAAGTTTTGGTGTATAAAATGTTTTTGTTGTGAGCAAGCGAGCAACTAGAAGCAACCTACCTACTCAAAAGGTCTTAAACATTTTTTCCTCCTCCTTTAGATGTTGCTATCTTACCATTGTTTTGGTAAGAAGCCCCATCATTGGATGTGAAGGGACGGGCGTGGGAAGTTTGTATAGTCATAAAAGGAAACCTATGGGACGTTTTAGCAATGTCGTTTAGGGACTAGATCGTTTACCGAAGGCAACATTGAGGGTCATCGAGGGACTACAATCTTTTATCGAGGGTCTATGCTAAAACGCCCATGTTCGAGGGACATGACTTTTTTTCCTGAGGAAACAAGTGGGCTTACCCTAAGGGTGCATGTGTGAATAGTGTGTTTGATTTGCATGCATTTAGTCTTTGATTAGGGGTTGTCTACTTGTTGTTTTTATCTTGCCATACATACCCTATTTAATAGCAAGCATACAAAAGTAATAAAATGCAGAAAGATAAAATCCTACACTATTACAACCATATTGAATTGCATGAAAATATAAAGGCAAAAATAAAATAAAAGCAAGAAAAATGAAGGTCCTTTCGATTGAGGCAGAAAACCCTTTGATTCTGCACTTTCTGGCTCTCTTCGATTTTGCTTAAAAAGGGGTGAAGGTGTGACTTTCGACTGAGGCTTGGGGGGTCAGCATGTTATGTCTTTCGAATGTGCCTGGAACCAATGCAAGATGTAATCTTCTATTCTACATCCTTTGACTGGAGGTTGGAAGCAATGAGGGAGTGCATTTCGTCTGGGCCTGGAACCAACATGGTGTGCCCTCTGGCTGCCTCTTTCGTTTGACCTGGAGGTTAGTGTGGAAGCCAGAGGCTTCATTTCATACTCTTGTCTCCTGTTTCTTTAGTTTGATATATTAAATAGCAACATGGCCTAAGGCCATGCTAGCACTGCCTTAAGGCCAGGTTAGATCTTAAAACATTTGTAAGGAACCAAAGAACAAAACCAAAAGGAAATGAAATAAAAACAAACTATAGAGGTGTAAACGAAACGGGAACAAATGCTATGTATATGTTTGAAACGAAAAGGAATTTTATTTACATGTTGTGCTGTAAACGAAGGAATCAAGGTTAAGGATGACTTATCTTGCTAGGGGCTGGAGCGTGTGCTAGGCCTTTAGGTGGTTACCTTGAATGCTACTGGATTCAAAGGGAGGGACCAGAGGTTAACGTCACTACTGGTGGATTCAAAAGATAAATACAAGTGAAGTGTCTTTCTTGCTGGACTCAAAGGGTAACAAGATATGAGGATGTTTCAGATTCGAAGGGGGAAAGTGTTTGGATTCTGGATTTGTGTTTTCACAAGTGTTCAAGTGTTTGAGAACTTTATGGTGTTTGAGAAATTTCAAGATTCGTTCCTCTGGAAAAAAATTCCTCCCTAAACATGTTGTGAAGCCTCTTATTTATAAGCAAGGCTGCCTGAAGATTTTGGAGGGAAAATAAAAGGTTTGAACAAATTGAGTAACCTGTTCCTTGTAGCTTTCGAGAGACAGTGTCTTGTATGCTATTTTGGTGTAAGAAGGGGGCAGTGTTTTAGGACTGTTGTGCAGCAGTTTTGGCCAGGGTGCCAGGTATGAGCTTGGCAGCAAGCATCTTTAAATATCATCTTATCTTTTTTACCCTTCTTCGACTAAACTCTTCTCCAAGCAATACTATTTTATTTTCCTCTAACAAGTGCCTTTCGATTGAGTCACTTTTAGGCATCCTTCGAAGGAGCCAAAAGTGTGACCCTTGGATGGGTCACCAAAAACATGCCTTAAAATGGGCTTGTAAATCCTTCGAATGGACCATCAAGCATGTCCTTCGAATGGGATGCCCAAAGTTGGATTCGAAAGATGCTGATTCGAAGGGGACATAGTTACAAACGAAACCTTATGAAGGTGGTTATGTCCAGTCAATGGCTTGCCTGCCCAAAGGTCCATGTGGCCAAACGAAGGAGTGTACATAGGGGGTCCCTTCTTTGTGACTTCATGCAAACATGCAAAAGATCTATGGTCAAACGAAGCTTGCATGAAGGGAACCAACATGCCCAAATGAAAGGTATGACCAGTAGCTTGTACTGAAGGATTCATGCGCCCAAACGAAACAAGCATGAAGGGAGTCAAATGCCCAAACGAAAGGCTTGACCAAAACCTTGTACTGGAGGATTCATGTGCCCAAACGAAACAAGCATGAAAGGAGTTAAATGTCCAAACGAAGCTTGCAACAAAGGAACCATATGCCCAATTGAAAGGTGCATGTAGGAGGCCAAAATGTCCAGATTCGAAAGAGGCATATAGGAGGAGAAAAGTGAAAGTCTAAGGATGCCAAAAGGGAGCCTTTTTCCTTGGAATCGAAGGAGGATACACGAGGCTTTGTGCCTTGTGAATCCAAGCCAACGTGCCAGAGGCCCACGCCCAGTCGAAGGAAGCAAGCCAAGCTTTCATCGAAAGAGGCCAAAAGGCCAATCGAAGGAGCTGAAACGAAAAACACTTGTTTTTCTCCAAATTTGTCAAAATATTAGTTTTATCTGTTTTCCCCCCTTTTTGATAGTTTCCTTTTAATCTTGGTACTAGAAAATCCCAATGTACTTGTGTAAGTCTTGAACCTTGAGAATCCTTGTGAGAAATGCCTTGAAAAATGAGAGGGAAAATTTTGGGGTACAACAGCTGCCCCTGTTCAATCTTCTTAAACCTGAAGAGTTAGATTGACGAGTTTTCCATTCGTTACTTGAAGGTGGAAGATGATTGAACACTAGAGTGCACAGAAATTTGTACTTGATGATGTGGTGGTTTATTGTGTACGGAATGGGCTTACAGATGCCATTTGGAGGGATAATGGAGAGTTGTCGGAGGTGGGCTTATAGATGCCATCCAAAGGTGATTGGTGACAGAAATTAGACCAAGTCTAAATTTAACTTCAACTGGAAAAGAATCAGAATAAATCTTTGGAGTGATTTATCTGAACCAACGAAAATGTCTACCAAAAAGAATCAGGATAAACCATTGAGAGATTTAAACTGAACCAGCAGAGGTCTTGAATATTATTTAACTGCTTCCGGTCTCATCGTTAACCTCATTCAGGCAACATGCTTCGTGATTCTGCGCCCACTTTCCAAGAATTTTTACCGACGGATCAATAGGTTTGTGGCAGAATTTCTTTGGTTGGAGCTTGTTTGGATTGTTGATTGGTGGGCTGGAGTCAAGATTCAAGTATTTACAGAGCCTGAAACATTTCGTTTAATGGGTAAAGAGCATGCTCTTGTCATATCCAATCACAAAAGTGATATTGATTGGCTTGTTGGATGGATTATTGCTCAGCGTTCAGGTTGTCTTGGTAGCACCCTTGCTGTGATGAAGAAATCATCAAAGTTTTTGCCGGTCATGTCATTGGTTGGTCAATGTGGTTTTCTGAATATCTCTTCTTGGAAATAAATTGGGCCAAGGATGAGAGCACATTAAAGTCAGGCCTACAGGAACTTAGGGACTTCCCTCTTCCCTTTTGGTTGGCTCTCTTTGTAGAAGGAACTCGCTTTACACAGGCCAAACTATCAGCCGTGCAGGAATATGCAGCCTCAACTGGATTTCCTGTTCCCAGAAACGTTTTGATTCTAAGAACTAAGGGGTTTATTTCAGCAGTAAGTCACATGCGCTCATTTGTTCCGGCCGTTTATGACGTAACAGTGGCAATTCCTAAGAGTTCACCTTCTCCTACAATGCTAAGACTCTTCCAGAGGCAACCTTCAGTGGTGCATGTGCATGTTAAGCGGCATTTGATGAAGGAGTTTCCGGAAGCAGATGAAGATGTTGCACAATGGTGTCGAGACATATTTGTGGCTAAGGATGATTTGTTAGACAAACATATAGCTGATGACAAATTCAGCGATCATGAGCCGCGGGATCTCGGTCGACCAATAAAGTCTCTTCTGGTTTATATAACATGGGTTATCGTGGTTGTTGTGGGGACCGTTAAGTTGCTTAAATGATCATCACTACTATCCTCTTGGAAGGGTGTTGCATTTACAGTATTTAGTTTGGCAATTGTGACTGCACTCATGCAGATCATGATCATGTTCACACAATCTGAGCGTTCAAATCCTGCCAAAGTTTCGCCTTCGAAGCCCAAAAGAAAGAAGAATTGCTGCTCAGCCGCCCATGCTTCCGCCCATGCTGCCTCCAATGCCGCTACCAAAGCCCTGAATCAAACAACTTGTGGCCGACAAACCCATCTTCCTCGACACCACTGAAGACATTGCTTATTTCGTTTTTTTTGTTTTTTTTTCTTCTTCTTTTAGTAGCATTTTAACCGCTGGTATGTAGTGGCTTGTAATATGCCCACAGTTCTTTAGGTAGTTTGTGTTTATGTGCAGCTTAAGAAACTGATGATGTACTTTATTTTCATAAATAATGTGATTCCTATTCATAAAAAAAAAGAGTACCGAGGATCAGCTGGTTTATCGAACAAAATCAACTTGATAAACTCTGATGGGGCTGTGTTTGAAATTGACTATGGTAGTGGCATACAACATTGTCCTGCTGAATCAATACCATATGGAACTCCACTTAAAGTGGTCGATTTAGGTGCTACACATGTTCCAAAGGATGTTTTTGAAATTTATTCACAGGAAATCTGTCCGCGCTACTTGGCTGAAACCTATAGTTTGCTTACTCACAATTGCAAACAACTTCAGCAATAAAGTTGGACAATTTTTTGGTTGGTGGTACAATTCCAGATTATATTCTTTAGCTCCCTAATGAAGTTATGAGCAGCCCAATGGGTGCTCTCATGTTGCCAATGATACAGAATTTAGAGACAACATTAAAGGCAGGTGGAGTTCCACAAATGCCACAGTTTAGGCCTTCAACAGTGACTTCTGCATCAAATTTTGCCTCAGTCAACACCAAAAAAAAAGTTCAACTGGACTTAACTCATCCACAGAGAATAAGGTCATCAATAAGGAAGTAAAAGGAAAAGAAGAAGTTAAGACCGAAAATGCAGTGTCATTTTATATTTAATTAACAATTAGTTATGTATACAATTTCACTACAGTTTGTGGTGGATTATTAAATTGAAATGAAGACAACTTGAGTCAATATTATCAATTCACAAATTGTCAAGACTTGGGAATCACATGGATGCTTTAAGGGAGGTTGCTAAACTTCCATTTTCGCCTCTAGATCCTCGAGAACCTGATACTTCTGTTGAGGTGTTTGGAAATTTATCTCCTCATGTCCAAGCTTGTATACCAGACCTCTTGAAGGTTGCTCTGACTTGTCTGGACAATGTGGAAGACTCTGATGGATCGCTTCGTGCCTTGAGGGCTAAGACTTCCAGTTTTATTGCAAATAATGTAAAGAGGAATTGGCCTCGTGATTTGTATGAAAGAGTTGCTTGAGCATTCAGGCTTGTTAGTAGATCAAAAATATGCAGTGGAGCTAATTGGAGGTGCTACCAGAGTGCCAAAGTTACAGGCTAAGCTTCAAGAGTTCCTTGGTAGAAAAGAACTTGATTGGCATCTTGATGCTGATGAAGCAATAGTTCTTGGTGCTGCTCTGCATGCTGCAAATATAAATGATGGAATCATAAACAGAATTACAAACTAACAAATAGTGCCAGCTCATTTCAAGGTCACATAACTGAATTTCAGTTTCAAAAAAATTCTCAACTGTAACTAACTTCAATAACCACCCCTAACTGTCTATAACAGAATTTCATAACCAACTAACAATAAACTAACTGCTTTCTAACAGATTTTTGAAAGCTATATGCCAGGGGGGATCATTATTCAAGGGAAAATGGATTCATAAATAGAAAAAATTCACAAAGAACTCAAAAAAAAAACCTCTGCAACCTCCACCTCTGAACCATACTCTCTTCAAACCTCGACCTCCATTTTCAATCTTCATTTTCCTTCCTCAATCTCACAACTCTTTGCACCTTCAATCATAACCCACCTTCATTATTTATCTATCTCAAGCTCCCTCCAATTCTCTCATCATAGATACATAATAAGGTTCATTATTCAGGGAACACACAGAAAATTTCTCAAGAAAGTTCAGAAAAAGTTACAGAGAAATTTACCTCTTTCATGATTCATTCTTCAAGCATTCTGAAAAAGCACAATCATAGAAACTTTCTGGCTTCTTCTCATCTTCATTTTTATCTTCTCTCTGCACTTTCTCTTCTAACTGTATTCTCTACATCAAATCCATAGAAGAGTTCACAAAGTCTCCGAAAACTTTCTGCTTCAACCCACAGCCAACAACACAACATTCTCTGCATCTTCATCAATTTTTGCATCCTGATCTTTATACAGATTCATCATCCTCATCCTTTGACATCATCAACTTGCAAGCAATCACATCTTCTTCACGAGTTTCACTCATTTTCTTCCAACGCGTTTAATCGATCTTCTTGATTCAAGTCATTGATCTGCATCCAGTATAACTCCAACTCACAATAATAGTCCTAAAAAGAAAAATATGGAATCGGAAAGTAGAAGAAGAAGGAGTCACGTAGATTCGGGGTTAAGAGAAGCATACCTGAATCGCGTATCTCAGATTTCTCTTCGATATCGTCAATCTTGAAGGGTTGCCGGAGTTCTCCGGTAAGTGAGATTAACTGAATCAAAGGAGAGCGGAGTAGTTGAACGAGGTTGGGACGAGATCTGCAGAGTTTTGTGAGTAAAGCTCGAAACAAAGAAGGTTAAGATGAAGCCTCCTGTTCAGCCGTTGATACAGCTGCCGAGGTCTTTGTGTTCTTCGCCGGTGAACAGAAGCGGCGCCGCAATTTGAGTTTGATAGAAGATAGAGACGAAGAGAGAATTTGGATATGTTGTTAGAAAAGCTTGAAGAAGACAGAGAGTTGTAGATGGTGGGTTCACGATGAAGAAGAGATGGTGAGATGAACGACCGCGCCGTTTCTGTGTGGAAGGAGAGGGACAAGAGAACTGAATATCACTATTTTTCAACCCTAACACAAATCTTCCACAAAACGACACCTTGTTCCCTTGTTTTTTTAATTTTAATTTTGTTTAATCTTTATTGTCAGTGCATTATGCTGAAGGATGAAATAGAGTTGGAGTTGGAGAATGGGCCGAATTCCACTAGGCCCACCACCATTTTGTTTTGGAAACTAAAGCTGGTTCAAAAAAAATGGCTTACTGGTTTATCTCCTATGGGCCTAGCATTATGCACCCTAATCCAGATTTTAACACCTCTCTGTTTTAGATTTAATTGTTTTTTTCCTTATTATATTCTTCTCATAACTTTGATGATAAAAGAGATACAAAAATAGTAGAGATTCTTATTGATATTAGAAATTCTCTTTAGATGTTTAATTAGAGTTTTCTATTATTTTCATGTTCGATGATCATTTTCATTGTCATTTTTTTAGCTAGGATTTTGTGATATTACATTGATGAAATCTCTTCGTAATTGGGAATATTTGGAGATCAATTTTTGATTACTCATACGGAGCAACTTTTGTAGAGTTCTCTTATCGCTTGCGTGGCTTTAAAGAGGCAACGGGCCTTCTCCGTTCGGTATCATCGCGACCTCAATTTATCCCTCATTTCCGCACTTTATCACGTTTCTTTACCGCTTTCTAGAAATCATTAGAAGTAGGGGCTTTACCGCAAACCATATGCATGCTAACATTAGGTAGATGTTTCCCTTTCATTCATCCCTGACTTAGGGCTACTAATGCATGATAACGTTAAGGATAGAAATAGGCTAGTCTTCCCCTTGGCTTTTCTTTCCACTTTTTTGCATATGCATTTAAAACAAAAACTTCTCCTTTTTTACAAACTTCAAAAATACATAAAAATTTACTGACAAGAACCATGTCTTCGTTAAGTATGTGAGATGATAAGAGGGTTTCTTCTCGACCTTATTATTCTCTTGTTCTAAGCTTTGGTATGATTCAAGTCTCAAAGACTCATTACATGAATAAGTAGAGACATGGCTAAAATCTCTCCCTTGAGATTAACTAGCTATTATCCACAAGCGAAAATATCGACAAACACAAAGCTCTTTTTGCCTTCGGGCCTTCCTTTCTTTCAAAACTCTTTTTTTGAGAAAGAACATGTTAATTCACTTCTGTGCTGACGCATAAGTCTCCAAAGGTCGAGTTACGACAGAAGGCGAAATTAATATCGTTCATTACAAACACAAACAAATTCAAAACTTTTTGTGCGTCCAGGCACATTTCTTTCCAAACTTTTCAGAAGAGCATGTTAATTCACTTCTGTGCTGACGCGTAAGTCTCCAACGGTCGAGTTGCGGCAGAAGGCGAAATTAATATTGTTCAGTAAAAAATACAAACAAACAAAAACATATAAGCCGAACTACGGCTGCTCTGATTCCTTAAAAAGGATACGTAAGCATCGGGGTAGGGCCTGAACGAGCACAACTTTTATTTTCCCTACATTCTTCTCTCTTTTCTTTTGTATGCATTCCTCCAGTAGTATGATAGACAGTAAGCATAGATTAAACGCAACCATAAGATAGATAACAAGAGTGGATACCGTAGAGTACTACAGGCGTGTGGGGTGCTAATACCTTCCCCTCGCGTAATAGACTCCCTTACCCTTATCTCTTGGTCGTTCGACCTTGATTTCTCCCTTTTCAGGTTTCCTCGATGTTTACCTTTCCCTTCATGTGGGATAAAAGACGTTCGATGGCGACTTCATTATTTTGATGATTTTCATCCGGTTATTTCAGAGCGATTTACCTGAACCAAAGAAAATGTCTACGGGAAAGAATCAAGATAAACCGTTGAGAGATTTAAACTGAACCAGCAAATGTAGTGGGATGAGTATTAGAATAATATCCATAAATGGATTGTATCTGACTCATATCTGAAAGATATACTGAATTAGCGTCAAAATGACATCTGTATCTGGATTGTATCTGGACTGTATTCGATAAATATGCTGAATGAGTGTCAGAATGACATCCGTATCTGGATCGTATCTGTACAGTATTTAAAAGGTATGTTGAATGTGTGACAAAATGACATCAGTATCTAGATCGTATTTGGACTGTATTTGAAAGGTATATTGAATGAGTGTCATAATGACATTCGTATCTGGACTGTATTTGAAAGGTATGTTAAATGAGTGTCAGAATGACATCCGTATCTGGATCGTATCTAGATTGTATTTGAAAGGTATGTTAAATGAGTGTCAGAATGACATCCGTATCTGGATCGTATCTGGACTGTATTTGAAAGATATGCTGAATGAGTGGCAGAATGGCATCTGTATCTAGATCGTATCTGGACTGTTTCTAGAAGAGAATCTGGAGTAAGTATCAGAATAATATCCATCTTTGGATCGTATCTAAACTGTTTTTAGAAGAGAATCTGGAGTAAGTATCAGAATAATATTCGTCTCTGAATCGCATCTGAACTGTTTCTAGAAGAGAATCTGAGAAGGAGCCCGTGTAGGATTACTTCAGTTGGTCGTGTAGATAATTTTCCTGGCTTGTTTCAGGTATTAATCTCTGACCCTTTTGAAAATTGTTGATGATAGCCATTTGTTGATTGATCTTTCCTGAAGAGGTAAAGGGTTAGCTTCATGCAATGTCATGATGTATGAAGTTCATGGCGTAATGATGTTCTCAAAATGAATGAGATTATGCTGTATGCATTTATCATGTATATAAATATGATGTATGAAATATTGTCGGAATGTGATTTTGTCTTGGAAAAAAAATCCTTGATAAGTGCTAGGGAGTTTTGGGAAGCTGAATCCTGGATGGCCGTTGGGGATGAAGTGCATGCATATCTTCAAACTTTGCTTATTATGTTTCCGCTGGGGAATCCTGCTTTGTTGTTTGAGGAGAACTCCGTTGGGGAGTGTTGATTTTGCTTGAGAAGAAAAACTCTATGGAGAGGAGATCAGGAATCTTTGTTGTTCGTTGCTCTACTGGGGAGCTATTGGGAATTATAGGAAAGTCAATTGGGGTAGAGGAGTTGTGGTCCCTTGATGTGTGATAGTCTGAGAGGAAAATTCAAGCTGGGGAATCTTGTCGTTTGTTGGGGAAATAAACCTCGTTAACAATCTGTTGGAGAGGCGTTTTCTTTTGGTAGAACTCCTCGAGGATTCTTGAGATCAACTTAGTTGGGGAGAAGCTTTCAGAGATTGAAGCTTTGGCTGGGGATCACCCTATGAAAAGGACTTTGTGGGAGACTTATCACTGCCCCTAGTAGAAAGTATTTGTAGTATTGCTAGGAGGGGATTGCTTGACGGTATACAACCCTTTATTGGAGTTCATATTTAATTCCCCAAGTGACTCGGATGTAAATCTGCCACTGCTTATTCAGGACTTCTTGAGAGATTTCTCAGAATCTTGACTTGACTGCCCCAAACGAGTTGGACAGTGACATATCATGCCCCCTTACTTACAGGAGATCTTCCATTGGAAGTGTCACCCCATTTGAAGCGATTTTTTCATTGAGAGAGTTTTTGTTCACTGGATTTTCTTTGTGTGAATTTCTCCGCTGTCAAACAATTAGCCATATGCAAACAACAGTATTCAAATAATGCAAAGTTTATGCCTGTCTTGAAGTTTTGGAAATGCATTCTAGCAGATAAAAGAATTTTTGTAAGAAAATTCAACTCAAGATTTGGAGTAAGCCTTATAGGAGTCAGGACACCTTTTGTAACAATATTCTTTCGAACTAACCCATGCTTCAATTAGGACTTTTTAAGGGTTGTAATGTGGCTTGGTTCAAATTTTAAGAAATAAAGGATAAGTCTCAAAGTGTATTTGTACCCGCTCGTTCTTCGTGATGTTCTTCAGTCATAAACTCATTTAATTATGCGTATGAACTCCAATTGAGTCTGAAATGATGTTTTGGTGATGGTTCAGACAAGTTAAGTTTGTCGGAAGACAGTCATTATTTCCATATTTTCCATGTTGTTTGAGGATTTGTAGTGACCTCTTTTGATTTATTATCCCTGATTTCGCCTGACTGTTCTTGTTTTTGAGATTACAGTCAGCGGGATGCCCCAGTTTCTCTTAAGTCTCTTTCGTAGGTTTTGACTTAGTGGGCTTTTCTCTTGAGAGATAGTGACTGCCTATTTTGGTAGGGAACCATCATCGTCTTTTGATTCCATAGGAATGCTTTTGATGTCATTTGTTGTATACGAAGCAAAACTTTGCGATTGAACGCGTGTTTGACTTAACTAAGAGACTACCCTGCCCCAGGTTTTGATTAAAGGTTTCAATTTCTGTAAAAAAGAAAACTTCTACTTCCTTGGCTCGAAGGGGGTGACTAGGGATTATCCTCCTTATAACTCCAGTGTTTAGGAATTAAAAGAACGCCTGTACATCGTCAGCAAGGTCTGTCAAAAAGCATACTGTATGAGATTATGACATTGTTTTCGTCATCCTCCCTCTAAAGGCTTACAACTTTTAAAACAAGAGTTGAATATTATAAAATGAGTAAAGACAACACAATTTAAATATAATGAAAACGAATGGATTAATTCAATACAAACATATGCAATGCATTAATGAAATGAAGTTTGACATTAATAGATAAGTGTTTGAATAACAAAAGAGATTAAAATTGAAAATTCAAAATGAAAAGGATGCTCTCAAGGATTTGGCATATGAGCATTGATCACGTTAAGAGCCTCTGGAGGTTTAAACTCAATCTCCTTAGCATCAATCATGTCTTGGATCTTGTTCTTCAGAGCCCAACAGTTGTTCGTGTCGTGTCCAGGACTTTCAGAATGGTATGCACACCTTTTATTGGGATGATAAGTAGGAGCAGAAGTATTGGGATTCTGGAGAGGATCCTTTAACGTAATCAACTCTGCTTTCAACATGTGTTGTAGCGCTTGAGCCATTGGCATGTTAATCTTAGTTAATTGTCTTTTAGGCATGACCTTCTTATGCTAATTCCCCTATTGATGTTGTTGCACTGATGCAGGACCGGAGATCAGGACTACCCCCACATGTTGGTCGTGGTTGATCTTGTTATGACCTTGTTGTACCCCAAAATTTTACCTCTCATTTA